TTCAGGCCCGGACCTCGGGGGCCTTGTCCTTAGGACCCTGGAGGGGCGGGCCCCGGGGCCATCTCTAGGCCTGGAGGGGCGGGGAAGTCAAAGGCCGGCGCGGCCAGGCCCGGTCGCCCCGCGGCCTCGCTCCCAACCCCCTCCCGGCTCCCACCTCGTCCGAGCCCGCTCTGCAGTGACAGCTCGGCCACCGGCACACCTCGCGGAGCCCAGCGCCGAAGGAGGCGGGGGCCGCTCATCACCTTTTGAGGTATCGGGCGTCCTCCCCCTGCATGGCGGCGGCGGCGGCGGCTTAGGGGCACAGCTGGCGGAGCGGAGGGCGGGCTGTCCGGGGACCCGCCTGCAGCACCCTCACGCGCAAAGGCGCTGACAGACCCAAGGCCCACAAGGCGGGGCGGCGGCGGCGGCGCGGCGTTACCACGGTGAGGCCGTGGGCTCCTCCCACTGCTTCGGGGCCCTGCGCACCCGCGCTGCCCAGACCCGCCCCGGCCGCCCGGAGCCCCTCGATGCGCATGCGTACGTGCCTGCGGCTGCCCTAAATGCGCATGCGCATGCTTCCCTGTCCGACGCGCCTGCGTCTGGAGACTTGTCTGAAGCCCTAGGGGAAGGTTTCGATGCTGGTTCAGCCACTGTGGTTAACAGTGGATTTCTGGTCCTTGTTCCCCGTCAGAATGGAACTAGAAAGGGCTATTACCTTCAGCAGAATTGGAATTTGAAAGAAGGGAAATCAGTTAACTTTACCCAAGCTAGAGGAACAGATTTGAGGCCATCATGATTAAAAAATTCTACCATGACTTTGTTAATCAAATCAGACTGGCATAGGGATGGGCGTATAGACCAGTAGGAAAGAATACAGAACCCAGAAGACGACTCATTCAATTATAGTCTAGTTGATTTTTCAGATCATTTCTTAAAACATTTTAAGTTCATACGAAGTTTGCAAAAATCGTTGAGAGGTGTCAGTGTACCTTCACCTAGTTTTACCAGTAATTGTATTTGCATAAATACATTACGATAAGAATACCAGGGACTGATAATGGAATGATATGTGCGTATGATTCTATGCTATTATATCACACGTGTAAATTCCTATTCATAATTTCTTAGTGAAGCATTTTTATTATGGCTGTTTTAAATACTTGTCAGATAATTCTAACATCTGGGTCATCTTAATGTTAGCATCTGTTGATTATTTCAAGTTGATATTTTCCTGGTTCTTGTTATGAATCATGATTTTTAAATTTTGGATATTACATTATGAAATGCTTGATCCTATTTAAGTATGCTGGGGACTGGGGTTGTGGCTCAGCGGTAGAGTGCTGCGAGGTGCTGGATTCGATCCTTAGCACCACATAAAAATAAATACAATGAAGGCATGTGTCCAACTACAACTAAAAAATTATTTTTAAAAATAAATATGCTCTAGCAGGCTTCCTCTAACACCACACCACACTGGAAGGGAGGGTGCCATCTTGCTACTAACCTATGGGGTTGATGGTTCTGGGTTCCCTTTTCAGCCTCCTTTGACAGCTGTGGGGGCAGGAGTGCCTTATTTTCGCTCCCAAGATGGTCTCCACTGACACATTATGGTAGAAGGTCTTGTTCTCACTGGATGGTTGCAAAAGTTATAGTGTGGAAAGGGCAGTTTATTACAGCTCACAGGTGGTGGAAATCTAATTCTCCACTTAAGCTTTGCTTATGGTGATGAGAGTGGGATTATACTTTTTCTTTTCCATAGTGTTTGGATGGAATAGAAAGTTATTATTTAAATGTTTTCTGTTTGGTAGCTTTCTCCTTTTCTCTTTCTTTAATGATTGAAGGCCTTTCTTTGGAATTGGGGAAGTCGTCTTCTGTTGGGTTTTCTGGATTTCTGGCTTCTCTAGCATCCACCATGGGGTATATAAGGAGGGAAAAATACCCAAGAAGCTTACTACTATGCCATTCCTTGAGTATAAAATTGCTAGATGGTCTGCTTTTTGTTCACCTGTCAGAGTTTTTTAAATGTTTGTTTTGTACATGTCACCTAGAGATTTAGTAGTACTCAGTGGAAGTAGTATGGAGAAGTGTCTCTCTTTCATTGTACTGCTGAACTGAAAGTGGTTTCAATTAATTTTTGATAAAGGTAACAAATTAACTTAAAAAGAAAAATATGGTCTTTTAACCAAAGTCACTGGAAACAACTGAATGTACATGTGAAAAATAAATAGGCTTTATTATGTTCGGATGTGAGTGTCCTGCAGAGCTCCTGTGTGTCTACAGGAATTTTCAGAGGTGAAATTATTGGATTGTGAGAGCTGTAACCTAATCAGTATATCCTCCTTTAAATGAACTGATTAGTGGTAACTGTAGGCATATGGGGTGTGGCTAGAGGAGGTGGGTCACTGAAGTATGCCCTAGAAGGAAGGATGCCCCTTTCCTTCCTTCTTGTTTTAGTCAGATTTTTCAATGTTGTGACTAAAAGGATCTGACCAGAACAATTTTAGGGCAAGAAAGGTTTATTTGAGGGCTTCCAGTTTCAGAGGTCTTAGTTCATAGAAGGCCAGCTCCATTCCTCGGGACTTCGCGGTGGAAGAGTGTGGCAGAGGGAAGCAGCTCATATGATGATCAGAAAGTAGAGATAGAGGTCTCTACTTGCCAGATACAAATATGTACCCCACAGCCATGCCCCAATTCCCATCTCCTGCAGCCACACCCCACCAGTTCAGTTACCACTCAGTTAATTCCTATCAGGGATTAATTCACTGATTAGGTTAAGGCTATAACCCAATCATTTCTCCCGCAAACCTTCTTGCATTGTCTCACGTGTAATCTTTACAGTGGGTGGACACCTCGCATCCAAACCATAACACCTTTCGTTGTCTTTCTGTTTGATGATCTCAACATGAGTGGAGCAGCCTTCCTTTGCTGGGCCCTATCCCCATGATGTGCTGCCTCCATCTTGGGCCCAGAGCAATGGAGTTGGCCATCTGTGGATTGAGACCTCTGAGACTGTGAGCCCTAAATAAGGTTGTCCTCCTCTAAGTTGTTCTTGTCATGTATTTTGATCACAGTGATGGAGATTTGACTAAAACAGGCCTCTTTTTTTTTTCTTTGCACCATACACAAAAGATAACTAACAAGCCCATGAATATAAACATAAAATCTATAAAACTACTAAGCTTCTAGAAGAAAACAGAAGAATATTTGAAACTTACAGGCTAGGACATATTTCTTAGACATCATACACAAAAACCACCAATAAAACAACAAATTTTGAATTGATGTCACCAAAATTTAAAACTTCCCTTTGAAATACACCATAAAGAAAATAAAAAGATACTTACTGTGCTGAGAGAAAGTATTGCTGTAAATATATTTGACTAAAGGATTGTATTCATGATATAAAAAGATGAAAATCTGAACCACTTAATTAAAACAAGTACAAGATTTATACAAGTACTTAATAAAAGGAGATACTTAGATCTAATAAGATGACTCAGCTTTGTTTCTCATCATGGAAGTGGAAATTTAATCCACAATGAAATATGCTGTGTACCTGCACAAGTGTATCCCTGTTCTGCTACAGTAACAGATTGCTACCAGCCCCCAGAATGGTTAAGCACAAGTTCATTATTTTATAGCTTTATGGATCAGAAGTCTGGAATGGGTCTCATTCAGCTGAAATCAAGGTGTGAGGAAGCTTGTATTCTTTTCTGGATGCTTTGAAAGGGAATCCACTTCCTTGCCTGATTTAACTTCTTGCTACACCCATGGTCTCTTTCCTCTGTCTTCAAAACCAGCTATAACTGCTCCAGTCCCCATCCTGCTTCTTACTAGTCCTGCTTTTCTTATCATTTTTTTTCTATGTTTCAAAATGTTAGGTTTGGTGACACACACCTGTCATCTCAATGGCTCAGGAGGCTGAAGTAGGAGGATCACAGGTTCAAAGCCAGCCTCAGCAAAACTTAGCAAGACTCTATCTCAAAATTTAAAAAATAAATGAAAAGGGGTGTGGCTCAGTGGTTGAGCACTCCTGAGTTCAATCCCTGTTACAAAAACACAAACAAACAAGGACTGGGGTTGTAGCTCAGTGGCAGAGCACTTGCCTCAAACATATGAGGTACAGAGTTCAATCCTCAGCACCACATAAAAATAAATAAATACTAAGGATTTTTTAGAAACCCTAGATATTTAAAAAACAAACAAAAAACCTCATTAACTGTATACTTAAGTTGAAATCATTTTAATATACTACTGTGTATAAATTATTACTCAGTGAAATTATTTTGAATATACCACAAACAAGGCAAATTTAGTAAACCAAACTTATGTATTAAAGAGCATGTTAAACACCACTGAACCACAGACAGGAAAGGTTTTCTACTTTTAAGAACTCTTGTGGACCCAACTGGTAATTCAGTATAATCTCTCCATGTCAAGGTAGGTCCTTAACTTGAATCACATCTGTTAAGTCCCCATAATGTAATATATTTACAACTTCCAGGGAGAGGATGTGGGTATCTTCACTTATTTTTCTACTTGGAGGTGACAAAGTTTGTCATAAACCCACTATAATGTTGAATTGTGAGATAGTACCAAATGTTGACAAGATGTGGAACAACTAGGGTTCCTACACGTTGCCTGTGAGAATGCAAAATGGTACAAGCATTTTGGCAAACATTTTGGCAGTTTAACAGTTAAATATGCATTTCCCACATGACCTAGCAGTTCTACTCCTAGGTTCTTATCCAACCAAAATGAGAATATATGTCTATGAAAACTCTTGTTCAAAAGCATTCATGGCAGTTTTATTCATAATGACAGAAAACTGTGAACCACCCAGACGTCCATTAACATGTCAGCTGATGCAAATGGTGGGATATTCACACAATGGAAAACATTCGACATTAAACAAAACAACTACTGATTATACAACATGAGTCAGATTCAAAAACCATTCTGCTGAAAGAAGCATATGTTTTTCATTTATAAGAAATTCTTGAATAGCGAAAGAAAAGTGTATCTTTTATGACAGAAGGCAGGCAAGGGGTTGTCTTGGGCCAGGGATAGGAGGTAGACAGACTGAATTCAACCAACCTGAAGAGAACTTTAGGGTAACGGTTACCCACATTAGCATATTTGTCAAAACTCAAAATGTTGGGTGTAGTGGCACACACCTGTAATCTCAACAGCTCAGGAGGCTGAGGCAGGAGGGTCATGGATTCAAAGCCTCAGCAACTAAGCAAGACCCTGTCTCAAAATTTAAAAAAAATAAATAAAAGGGGCTGGGGGTATGGCTCAGTGGTTGAGTACTCCTGGGTTCAATCTCTGTTACAAAAAAAAAATG